TATTGGAAAATCAATATATATGTCAACCTCTGTCCTCCATGGCAAGGCAGAACTGAAAAATATCTAACTCTTCCTCATCTCCGAGAATGCATCTTTCACAAAGCATCTCGAAATACTCAGTTTTCTTCCTCTCTGAGAATACCTCTACAAACAAGTCACACCAGAGTAAGAGTATCTCATATCATCAGGGACGAGAGCAAGAGTATCTTATATCATGTAATCTCCCTGTCCTTTCCTTTGTCCTTGTTCTTACCTGCCAAGACAAGGATAGAGAAAGCAATATGTCGGAACCTCCACTCAAACTTTCGCTGCCACCAAGAAGTGATGGTCCATTCAAATACAAGGTTTGCATTCCACTCCTGTATCAGAGGACAAATACTACAAGAGAAGATGCCAAACCTGCATAAGGAAAATACCACTTCTGCAAGGAGAGCAAGTAAGGCAAGTGAAAATGATACATTGAAGCATGTGGAGACAAGCACAACAAACACATTTCAGTTCATCCCCGACAAAGTCTAAGATCATTTGTCACATGAAGCTCCTCATGATCCAATTTCATTCAAGATCAAGTGTAGACGGCCTTTGAAGAAATCACAAGTCCGATTCAAGATCAAGTGTCCACCACCCTTGAATCAAATTCAGCTCCAGATGAAATAGGTAAATTCAGACATTTGGAGAAAGTCTAGCCGAAGGCCCTCCAACCCAGTTCAAGAACAAGCCTGTGGAAAGTTAACAACAAGTGAAACACCTCATTCGGCAACTATCACCGCTAAAAGACTAAAGCAGCAGGATCAATGATCAGCCTAAATAATTTGAAATCAGGGGGAGATACTCATCAAGGGGGAGCATCCAAAAATAGATCAAGATCTTAACGAGGCAACTCATGTTGATGATATGTGGGCATCCAAGGGGGAGTGTTGAAAAGTCTAGTGGGTATTGAATGCCCACATAGAAACTGCAGACATTGGGTGGATTTTCAATGCCCATACAGGTCAATCTTGACTTGGGAAAAGATTATATTGTCAAAGATGTGTGCTTGGAGTTGCTTTATAAATAGAGCACTCCGTATGCTTTGAAGAGAGAGCAGAAAAAGAAAGACAGGAAGAGGAGAGAAGAGAATACATAGAGTTTTCTTTGTACTCCTATTATTCCAAATTATAATGAAAGCATCACTGCTGCCCGAGGACGTACTCCAGTCATACTGACTGTAGAGGAACCTCGTAAATTTTGTGTCTTGTTTTATTTATTCCACTGCACACACATTGTCAATTTTACAACAGTTGTATTATTTTGACTTTTTTTTTCCCCCTTGGGGTTTGAAATTTGAGCCACCACCCCCTTTGGGGTTTCTGGGCTTCATATCAAACCCACAAAAAAAGACGACTTTTTGGGCCATGTCAAATACAATTCTAGTGGATCCATTAAGCTATTATAGGCCCGCTTGGTATGTAGAGAGGGAAGTAATAGACTTGAAGATCATGTCGTGTTTGTTGTGTTCGTTTCATTTTCATGACATACTCGATATCTTAACGGATCATATCTTGTCAATCCCATTAATCTTAACTGATACTTTAACCCAACCCGTATTTTAACGGGTAATAATTTATTTTACTTCAATAAATTAGCAAATAAAAAAATCATCCTAAATTAGTATCTACATACCACTTTGTCATATAAATATTACTTTAAAACAAAAAAAAAATATTTATCTTTCAGATATTATAAACCCCAAACTGAGAGCCTAATGAAAAAACATTATACATTACTACAAAATATCAAAATGTACAAGGACATGCAAATTGCAAAATGAAGGGAGTTTTTTTTTTTTTTTCCAACATTGTAGAGCCTTTCTCATAAGTCAGAACCTTGCCAATGAGTTGAATGAGACTCAAAGCATGAACTTTGTTTTTTACAGCAAAATCCTTCAATTTTTATCACACTAAGAAATTGTATTGGAACTTTGGCTTCATCTATTGTCTTCAACAGTTAAGTTGACGATGTTTTTCGTAAGACTTTCCACATTAGCATTCTCTTTCACATAAACTAAACATTACAATTACCAAACTAACATTTTTCTTAACAAGTTGAAAATGGTAACCCGCCTTAGCACTCTCTTCACCATAAAAATGCGTGTCAAATGTGTGTTCAACATAGAGATTACAACTTAAATAGAAAAAAGACAATAACCGACTTAGCAAATTAAAAGGCACGAGTAAACCATTACTTGGAACACAACACCATCCACTACTTGATAGACTCCACAATATCTGAGATATGCCTAAAGAATAAGTAAATCCACAACAGACCACCTAAACTATAGGAATGCATGTTTATTGAAAAACAAATAACATGAGTATTTTAACCATATATATATATATATATATATCATCTTCAATCAAAACTCTGCCACTTAATACTGAGAAAAGAAGAAGCCAGAAGGACCATAATTGGTCAGCAACGCTAACTTCACAACCCTTGCAGCACCTTCTTCAACAATCAAGACGCTGGTGGTGTTGGTTAGATCTGTTTTAACTGATGCAGGGCAAAGCCAATTTATGCTAAAATTTGGTACTTCGTGGTTAGAATCCTGTGTTAGTTGAAGGATCCTTGGCAAAGCTTTGAGTAGGTTCTTAGACTCTCTTACAAAGTTCATTGTTTTCAGGCGTGCCATTGCTGGCCAAGACCAACAAATTGTTTAATATTTGGATGTTTTTAGGTCATTTGCTTGTACCACAAGTAAACTGAGCCTCTTTATCAAAAGACTGTTCCATGGAGGTGTTAAATCCATATGAGATTCTTTTCTACGCCTTGAAGACAAGAACTTTATATTTTTCTTATCTTAAATGCCAAGATACAACCACAATCTGATCAGAACTCATCCAAGTCAGTTTGCAATCTTTGTGAAAAGAGTAAAGACGAAAAGTAAAGCCAAACAGAGAGTAAGTAAAAAACTGAATGTAAAGCGTTGGTAAGTATTTGTAAAATGTTAACTAAAATGACAATAAATTTCATTAAAGGATAATAACTTGAAAATCAATGACAAATACAAGTGTTGACCCTTAAAAATTACAAAGCTTACGTGGCATGCAGGCCGAGTAACTAATAAGCTAACTACGTCCTTCGGTTGAATGAGGGGCGTGCGAACTCATCGGCTGAGCTCAGCTGAGGAGTAAAATTTGTTGATGTTGTGTTGAGCGCGTTGCTGACTTCTTTATCTTGCGACTGCGGCCGAGGAAGGAACAAATCTCAGCATTTGGATTCTCGAGCCTGAAGACAAGGCTGCTAGTTCTGCAAAGTTCATAAATCGTCAGCGCCGGATTCGGTCACAATGATTATATTCGTGAGAGTATAAGCACGTCGAATCGAAACCAGACTGTACTAGAGTTTTTTTGCTTTGCCATCAACACCCGAAGAGTTTTGTTTTTCACTTCCACTTGTTGGCTTTGGAGCTTTTGATAGTTGTTGAGTAGCAGCAGAGAGCAGAATGTTGAGAAAGTAGAAAGTAGAGAGCAACCGAAGAAAAGGGAAACAAGGGCTATTGTTTTTTTGGGTTGTGAGATTGCCAACACTTTGTAAACTCCTATTTGGTTGATAGTGGATTATTAAGTGAGCTCCTACTGCTCCGAGGACGTACTCCAGTTACATTGATTGTTGAGGAACCTCGTTAAAATATTGGTGTCTTTGATATTTTGTTTTTGTATTTCATTTGATATATTTCCTGTGAGTTAGCTTGAGTTGGTTCCAATTGGTTTGGTGCTATTCTAGCACAACAGTATGAGACTTTGTGGAGGCGCTTGGAGTTGTTTTCTTCGTAGTGGCAATTGATCTAACAAGTGGTGGGGGTGAGTGGTTCTGCATATTAGACAGCTCTGGGGGAACGTGTTGAAGTGCATGTAATTGAGAAGCTTGGAATTGGGGTTAGTGGACACGGCGGTGCTCATCCGTTATGTGAATAGCGACATACATAGTTTTAGTGCTGAGAGAAAAAGTTGAGAGGTGCTCTGCACCAAATAGTGGTGAATACTCCTTCAGCTGCAAACAAACACATAGCCTGTGGCGAAGCTCGTTGGTAGATATTGTCAATGGGGTGATATCACACTCCTGTTTTTACTTTGAGAAAATTGTATCAATGGTCCCTCAATTTTAACCTAATTGGTGTCATGGTCTCTCAACTAAAAATCTATAACTATTGGTCCCTCAACTCCTTAAAACATGCAACTATGGTCATTTTCTTCAATCCCGTTAGAACTTCTGACAAAATAAGTCACATGTCATACACATCAGGCTGAATCAAAGCGCAAATATAGAAAACCAAATGAGAAAAATTTTTGCAACGGTCTCTCACTTTTAACCCAACTAGACAAATGGTCCCTCAATTTTAACTTAATTGGAGCAATGATCTCTTAACTTTAACCCACTTGTAACAATGGTCCTTCTAACATAACTCATTTTAATGGAATTTTGACGGAGTGAATGAAAAGGACCATAACTGCACGTTTTGATGAGTTAATGGACCAATGATCATAAATTTTTAGTTGAGGAGACCATTACTCCAATTTGGATTAAAATTGAGAGACCATTGCTCTAATTTTCCCTTGTATTTCCCGCACACCATTTTTATTAATTTTTGTACTTTCATCTTTAATTTATAGCCGAAAGTGAGTCCTGTGTGGAAAGTAAAAATAGTTGTGTGAATATCACAGCCATTTGTCAATATGACGTCAGTATATGAAATATAATATTGACATAAAGGCGTTTATAATTGGTAACTATACATTAATGTAATATATAGAAGACCCAGGTTTAGTCAGCTTCTCCTCCGTTTGCACTCAAGTTCGAATTCACTTTTATTTATTTAGATGAATTTATAGTAAAACATTATTTGTATTGAAAGAATTATCCGAAGGAGTGGCGAAAGTGCTTCATTCCCTTTATTGGTACCGTACTATTTGTATGTATTCTTCCGCAAACTCATAGTTTAGGATACCCAAACTATTCTAAAACCTGGAAACTAAAAACGACTCAAACTTATATTTTAACTCCAATCAAGATTTATCATTGTATCGAAACAACTCTAATCGATTTCTTTATGCCCTTCAGCATCTCGGAGAAGGAAGTGTTCATCCTGAAACCTCAAATTGTAGTAATCACATTGACTTATACTGCAAGAAACGAGTACGGTCGTACAAACAGAAGTATTCAAAATGGTATATTTTCTTTGCGGACAAAGTATAGGCCAGTAGGACCACCATTGGGGAGTAGCGCCAACCTGACGATGCTTTCAGCACCTTCATCGATGGTTAAGACACCAAGATTGAAGCTCATATCTGTTTTTACTAACCCAGGGCTCCCACAGTTGATGCAGAAATTCAGATACTTCTTGGCCAGAATCCTAGTGTACGCATTCAAGGCTGCTTTCGAGACTTTGTACGCTGGAAAGATGTGAGACCAGCCTTTGGTTTCTAGCAAATCATGTTTATAGTCTTCCAAAAACTCACTCAAAACAGCTTCTATTCTCTCTTCTGTAATGCTCTCAGCATCACTAAGTACCTCTTTGGCCCTTCCATTTGGAAAATTCTGAAGCAACACAAAAGACGGGAGAGCTTTAATTTGATTCGAAAAACAGAAAAATTGCATCTTGCTATCTATGTAGAACTAAATACATGGATTGCTCATAATTAAACATTTCATCAACACAGTTCAGAGCCATTTCCGGAAAATTGGTTTACTCTGGCATTCAACTAATGTTCTAATGTAATTCCAGAGCTCCAATATACTTCATTAAGCACGGAAAAGACTTATAAAGTGTGTAATTCTCCGCAGATAAATTGACTAAACCATTTAGTTCAACTTCTAAAACGGTAAAACCACATTAACTACTAGTCGAAACTTGATCTTGTTTGAAATACCAAAAACAAATCACATTTTATTAGTTGTTCATACCGTCAGCTTAGCAAGAAGGGAAGAAACATTAACGATTCTTGGTGAATCCGATAGCTGGAGGAGGGGCAAAAGCGCTTCAGTCACACTTTTGGCACCATAGTAGTTTGTTTTAAGGCATTCTTCTGCTAACTCGTAGTTTGGTGTCGTCGATATTTCACTAAAATTGATTTCTTCTGGCTTCTGCATAATTGCATACAAGAAAAGAACGTTAATGAACACTCTCGGGAAGTTTGCATCATTACTTTCCTAAGTTACAAGAGAGAAATTCTTAGAAGGATTCTGTTCTGAAAACCGATTACTCTTATCAATCATATATATATATATGATTGCTTTATATATAGAATCTCACCTTACCACTTACAGCTGACCTGAAACTTTCAGGGTCTACCATGCTTCCATTGATTCCTGCATTGTTTACCTACACAGTAAAAAAGGTTCCAACATTTCAACTTCAAACTTAAATTAAAACAAGAAGCAGAATTGCAATATTATCTCTACTGATCTAAGCAAGAAACCCCAACTTAATTTTCAAGATTTACATACCAAGATATCGAGTTTCGCGAATTGGGTTTTGACAAAATCTGCAAGGGAAGCAATGCTAGCAGAATCTGTAACATCAAGCTGATGAAAAACCACAAGCTCAGAGAGCCCAAAATCTTTCAATTTCTCAACAGCTTCAAGACCCCTCTTCTCATCTCTTGCAGTTAACACTACTATGACCCCCTTTGAAGCCAATTGCTTAACAATTCCAAATCCAACCCCTTTGTTTGCCCCTGTCACAACTGCATACCTGACCAAAATATGAAAAACAGATTTCAGATAAATAAGAAAAAATGGGATTTTATTTATGTGGTTAAAGGATGAAGAAAACTAGACACTTACGTTTTACTTGCTTCTGCCATTGTTGATTGTCTTTGAGCTTGTTCCTTCGCTTGGCTCTTTCCTGGTTGTCAAAGTTTCATGCCATCATTTTT